ACTCCTAGTACTAGTGTTGGAGACCACGACGATGAAAAGAAGGCACGGAGCAACCACGTGTCTCCTGCTGAATCGTATGTTTTAGCGATTCGTTAATCCTCCACTTCATCTTGTCCTATTCAGCAGATCTCCAAGTGTAAATGTGTAAAGTTCTTCTCATCAGTATTCTCTCCTGTCTTGTCATTGCTCTCCTGTTTCGGTACCCTACGTTTACGGTTTAGATGTATATTATTTGTTGGTTGGGTCGTATTGGATTAGACTTTCTCAAGGGCCAGACAGGGCAAAGGGGAGTGATGCCCACCCACACCGAATATTTCAATCAGGGAGTCGAAGTGTATGTGCTAGATATTATCCTCGGGACCATCCTCGATCATTTTGGCGTAGTCATCGTAACTGGCGAATGTTGGCAGAGACCTCAGTTTCTTCTTGCTTCCTCCCTTGTCCTCCCCATGCTTCCGCTTTTTGTTGGGTTCAGCCCCGAAACCAGCCCACTCCTCGCCGTCTGCTTCGGCGTCGGATCCGTCATACTCAATCAATCCGTCAGGAATGTCATCGTCAAGCCCAACGAGATCTTCAGCATCCGAACCTTCGACCATCGAAAATGCGTCGTCATCCTCATCGCCGCGGTCTTTCTCCTCCTGTTCATCTTCGTCGCTGACGTTTTCGGCTCCGATGAGGACTTCGTCCAGATCTGATGGGACATCGTCGCTGTCTTCATCAACCTCGAGCAGATCGGCGACATCTGCATCTCCCAGCTTGGTCATTGATGCTTTCATCGCCTACCAATGTCGAAGACATAGTCAATATTCGACCACAGAATCGTCCAGAATCCCACTGACCTTCCAGATCTCTGCTTCCTCCAGATCACTGTCCTCGTCGACCGCATCACCTTCCCCTGCTTCCTTCTCTTCATCGTCGCTCTCCTCGTCATCGCTCTCCTCTTCACCGAGGTCCACCTCATCGTCTTCTTCTTCGCCATCACTCAAAAGTCCACCTCCATCATCCTCATCGTCACTCCCATCCCTGCCCTTCCCCTTCTTCCCCGATCTGCTCTTCTCAATCTGGCTCTTCTTATTGAAGAACTTGTGGAAGAAGACCTAGATAACCCACAAATCAGCTTCATACATCCTTACCCCACCAAACGACCAAAAGCGAACACATACCTGATCAACCGGAACGTTATCCACACTCCTCTTCCACCACTTCTCATCATTGACCGGAACTCCCTTCCCTCCCTTCCCTCCTCCCTCCCCAACTTCACCCTTGATCAACTTCACACCTCCACTCCCATCAGCAGCAGTAGCGGCGGGTTGCATAGCACTAGATCCTTTCGACTTGATTTGCTTAGGGTTCTTGTATACGAACCTGTCTAGGAAATGGGAGAGTGTGTTTAAGGAGAGGTCGGGTGTTGCTGTTATTTGTTGGCCTGAGAGGAGTTGGTGAGCGTATAACGAGATCGTAGGGTGGTAGTGGAGGAGGAGAGGTGTCTAGTTAGGGGCGTTAGGATGGAAGTAAATAACAAGCACAAGAAAGAAGCATAAGATTAAGACATACAAGTTCCCATAGAGGCGACGACGATGCGTGGGCAAACTGAGGATCTCGTTTCCGAGGATCATAGCTCGTGTCCGCTGTCACTTCACTCAACGGAGGCTCCGTAACCATACTCTTCAACCCCGGGACCGAACTAAACAACTAAAAACCAAACCAAACCAAACCCCACTCAGCCCGAATTCACTTAAACCACAAAAACGAGACGGGCACTCACCTCCCCAAGTAAATACAACCCTCCAGCCACAAATTCCGTCGCACCACTAACACCCCCCACAAGCAACACCTGCACAAACCTCCTCAAAAACGCCTTCACCCTCTCCTCCTCCGCATCCACTTTGACACTTTTAAACAACAAGTTCAGGTACATGGCTTGTTTGTTCGAGGTTGCGAGCCGAGGATCGAGGAGGGATGCGTATAGGGTTCGGTAGAATCGGGATGTTATTGATTTCGCTATTGCCGTTTGGGAGGGAGTAGAAGAGAGAGAGGGAGAGAGGGATTTGGTGATTTGGAGGAGGAGGAGCAGGGACTGGAGGGAGATGTTGAATGTGGATTTGTGAGTTATCAGGAAAAGCGTGTCGATGTGCTTGTTGAACCTATCCCAACATCATCATCGTCAGCCGCCAATCGATCAATCGAGTGAGGAAAACGTACACAGCATCGCTAGCATCCAACCGAGCAAACGGTAAAGCCCTGTTCACACCCGTCAAGATCTGCGATATCAACTTCGACCTAGCATCTTCAACTTCAGCGAACCCAGCTTCCCCTCTAACTTCCTTCTCTCCATCTCTCCCCTTCCCTTTCCCCTTCCCCTTCCTAGGTTTCCTCCCCACGTCAACCTCCTTCCCATCCTCCTTCTCGTCCTCCCCTCTACCTCCCCCTTTTCCTCTCCCTTTGCCCTTTCCCTTGCCCTGATTGTCTGCACCATCGTCATCATCCTCCCGCTTCTCCCTAACCTCATCATCCTTCCCATCCCCCAAAATCTCCTTAAACATTTCGAAATAAACATTAACTAAACCCCTAGCCACATCCCTATCCCCCTCCGAATGCGACAACACGATCTGGTTGAACGTAATCGAGGCATAATACCTGATATTCGGGTTCCCTCCTCCCGTTCCCTTCCCTTCCTTGTCCTTCGGTTTTGCAGAGTCCTTGGGTTTCGCAGAGGTAGACTCGTCAGAGAACCTTATATGCGTACCCGATGCGGCGGCAGAAACGGCGGCAGAAGCGAGGGCGGTAGCAGCGGACGTAGTCGGAGGTCGGAATACCAACGAAGATACTTCTCGGATGACGATACCTTTCATCGCTGGGTGTGATTGGAGGAGTTGGAGGAGGCAATGAGAGGTTTTCGAGCATATTGATCTTTCAGTGTCACCCTGTGTGATTAATTCGGGAGTTGAGATGGGTAAGGGGGGGAAGGGATAGAATAGGACGTACGAGTTTGTTAACGAGTAGTCGAAGTAAGTTCTGTTCTTGCTCGGGTTTGTCTCGAAGTAGTGTGAATATAAAGGTGATAGCTTGCGTGCGGACATATGCTAACGGGTCCAACGACAGGGCCTGCGACGCCGCACAAGATTGGTCAGTTCGAGGGCCTGTAAGAGCGAAGGACACTCAAACTGACCTCGAGGATTTGAAGGAAGGAGAAGAAATATTTTTTGAGCCAATCTTCGAAATACCATAGGACGAGATGGGCATCTGTTACAGATGGATGGAGGAGTGGTTGGTCGCGGAAATATCTAGTGAGGAGGGCTGGTTAGTGCCATCATCTATTCATCACCACGCGAAACCGGACGGCATCAAAACAGAATTGCCACCCAAAAGAGGGGAGCTTCAAACCGACAGGAGATAGAAGGGAACGAAACGAAAACACCAACATAAGAACGATCAAACTCACTTCAATTTCCTCCCAGCTCCCCCTCCTCCAACCCACCAATCAACAACACATCTCACAGCTTTCAACCTCTCCTCCCTCCCTCCTCCCTTCTTCCCCGCCATCCCTCTCAACACCTCCAACGCTTTAACGTTATGTACCGGACTTCCTTGCACCAACAACGTCAACGCGCTCAACTTATCCGACAACGTTCCCGACTGCAAGATCTTTTGGAGGAATACTGCGTCCGATGCAGAGGAGGATGGGGTGGAGGAGGTGGTGGGAGAAGAGGAGTAGGTGGAGAGGTCGGTTGAGTGGAGAGTGGATGCGTGGGTGAGGAGGGAAGTTAGTTGGTCTGCGGTTGGCGTTGGAAGGGGAGTGGGTGATGGGGGGAGAGGAGGGAGGGAGGTGTACCAGTGAGATGTGGGTTCGATTATGAACTTGGATTTTGATTTTGATGAGGTTTTGGAGGGGAGGGTGGTGGGCGGTGGCTCCGTGGCTTGTGGAGGAGGGAGGGAGGCCTCAGGTTTGGGCTTGACGGTTTGCATTGTAGATTTTGAGGGTTTCTTGGATGGTTTCGATGGTTTCGAATCCTCTGCGGGTTCCGATGATTTTGATTTACCATTCCCCTTGGCCGAAGGCTTCGTTTGACTAGCATCCGAAGGTTCTCGTCTCTCCTTCTCCTTCGATTTGGCCACCTTCCCACCTCCCTTTAGATCCCTCAGAAACTTCGAAACGTCCTGCGTCAATTTAGGCTACAACCGCCAACATATTCTCAGCGTCAAGTCAAAACCACACGAAAACCCAGTAGGAACGTACATCTTCCCGCAAAGCATCATCACCACCTATCAAGTCCTCCACGCCCTTGATCATCTCAAAATCGTCCTCGTCACCACCCAAAGCTCTCATCTGCTCCTCCAAAACAGCATCTTTGGACTTGGGTTTTGACGATGCAGGTTTTGAGGAAGACGGTGAGGCTACGACCTTGATTTTTGAGCCTTTGTCTTTGCGTATGCGAGCCATGGATAGTTAGCAGTGGCTGCCTCCGATGGGAGACTAGGAGATGGAGGTCAGCAGGTCGGTGTCGATCCCATGTGTACCGCGGCAAAAAATATTGGATTGCCTTTTATGGGCAAAACCCTAACCTTACTTCCTTCACACAAGCCAGCAAACTCTGACCGCGTCCCCCTGGAGCTATCCTAATAATCTGAATCAATCAACCAGTGATTGAGGATGAGCGTTTGATTCGTTCACAGGTCCGACAACCGTCCAAACTTTCAAAGAAAATTACGTGGCGAGTCCGTGACACGATGTAACGGCTGACCGAGAGCTCCCCCACCAAAAGCAAGGGGAATCCACACGAACTCGACCTGACATCAGAAATGCACTGCTGATGGTCTCTCCATAGATATTCTGACCAAATTCTCTAACCCTTGTGGGGTACATCCCATTGCGAAAAATCCCGTTAAAATCACTCCAAAAGTGGTCAACTTGGCGAGACACACTGACCATTACCCCCAAGCAATCGTTGAAAATCTTGACCTCGGTAACTCAAAAGAAAAAAGACGACATCAATCATAAAGGGCCTGGCCGGGAATTGAACCCGGGACCTCCTCCATGGCCCAGCCAGGGTTCAACGCCCCGGCATACCCTAAGAAGGAATCATACTACTAGACCACCAGGCCGATACAATCGGTACACGGGAGCTAGAGATCACCTGGCTATCTACAACAATCGCACTTTCAGTCATAGTTTTTACATTCATAGGTAGAGAATTATCCCCTCTCCTCAAATCCGCGATTATTTCATGGATACGTCGCTGCTAGCGCATATCGGAGAGAATCCGGTGGAGGGTGTCGAAAACATGGAAAAGCGTGTTACGGGCGGGTCACAAGTCAAATTTGACACTCCGCTCGGCAAGCCAGCCAATTCGACTGGGCGGAGCTCCAAATTGTCACGTCACATTGTGGCGTAGACGGCCTCTGAGTCATACTTCAGCCCGTAGAAATGGCTACGTCAAGTATTCGATTGTGCTGACTTCACGAGTATTATAGCGGGGAAGGGGGGGAGGGTTTGAACCCTCAGTAATTGTAATAACTGAGGGGCCGCGGGCTTCGGCAAAATCGGCATTTATTTAAACTCCGCTCAACAAACATCCCCCCGCCACAAGTAGTACCACCCGGCTTCACGAAGTATTTAATATCCATCGTAAGAACTTGTATTCAGTACCGCTAGGGAGTTGAATGAGGAATGGAAGTGCTAAATACAGATTTAATTCTCGTAGGTTTGCAATCCCGCGGTTCGATAGTTGGGGTATCTTACCGACAGTACCCCCCTCCCAGAGTCAGCGTACTCTCTGACCAGTGACTATTGACAAGAGAAATTGAACTCGAATAGCTGCTATGGATACATGGAATAACCCTGAACAATTAAAGTCCCTCGCATAAACCCACAAAGACCCACCCCTCACTACCTCCTCCCCAAACTCCTCCCCAGCCCATCAACCAAAACACCCTCCATCCCAGCACCCACCCTCATCCCCTCCTTCATCCCCAACCCAACCCTCTCCATCCCTCCAAGCACACCCCTCCAAACACTCTCCTCCTCAGGTCCCCTAACACCTCTCATCCCAACCCCCCCATCCAATACTCTCAAAGCGGCAAACGCAACAGGTAACCCGACACATAACGCCATAGCAGAATGTCGGGGCGTACCGTACGTCGTCAACGTTGATGTGTATATATGTTGTTCGGCCGGAGGCGAGGGCTGGGATGTCGGCGACGAAGGCTGAGAGGGTGGAGAAGATGGTCGAGCGACGATTTCATGATGAAGAATAACCATATCCCTCTCCCCCTCTCTATACTTCAACTTCTCCCCAAGAACCAAAGCAAACAATTCAATAGGCGCCACGGGCCTCCTCGGCAACGCCATACCAGTCCTCCCTCCCAAACTAGAAGGTAACATCCCCAACCAAGTAAGCGCCTCAATAACCTTCGGTGCAGCCTCCCTCCCAACAATACTCTTCAACTCCCTCAAAGTCGGTCCACCTTCCGGGACTGTATGTCCAAGGACCCCTTCAATCGCCCGTCGAGTGAGTGAAGACCACGAATCCAGTGGTTGGATCAAAGGCTCGAAACTGAGCAAGCCAATTTGTTTGAAAGAATGCATCAACTCGCAAAAACCTGGGTATCTGCCGACCCAACATCATCGTCAAGCCACCGAAAGATTGAAAGAAAACTGACATACCTCAAAGTCCCTCTCAACACACTCCTCAGCGCACTAACATCCCCCATCCTATAAACCCCAGCATAAGGCAAACTATTCCTATTGGCCAATCCCTCCAACCTAAACTCATCAGAGATAGGAACCTCAGGGAAATATTGTTTCAAAATCTTCTCTCCGGGTATCTCATACTCCTACACCCAATCAACATCCCGAAGCCTGACAACCGCACAGAGATGAAGACAACAACATACCTTGCCAGCCAACTTGAACTGCGCCCCTTGTAACGCAGCTCTCAAAACTCCCAGAACACTCCAACTAAACTTATACCCAAGCGGTCCATGTCCACCTTCCTCCAAACTTCTCCCTGTACCACCACAACCACCACCCTCGACAAACTCAGGCGCAGGTAACCCCCCACAAAACGACACGAACGACTCTACCTCCCTCCCCGCCGACCTAATATCATTCAACAGCGAAAGCGCCGAACAATGATCTACCCCCGGATCCAACCCAATCTCGTTCAAGATCAAAGTATCCGCCCCTAGCGCCCTAAATACGTTGGGAAAGGTGAGTGGGGTAAGGGGAAGGGGAAGGATGAGGAAGAACGGACCGTGCATGGAGGTCTTTCATGGGTGGAGAGATATACGAAGCAGTGATCATATGTTTCCTCCTCTCGATACATATCTCCGCGATAGAAGGGTGGAACGGAACCGGTAACAAACTACCCAACGAAACCAAAACCAATAAACTCGGATTCCAAAAACAATATTAAAACACGAAACCTAAACTGACCTGACGACAACATCAGCTTCGTCAACCAACCCCCCAATCCTCTCTTTATCCTCCACATCAATAAGAACGGCTTTAACATTCTCTAACCCTTTCACCAACCGCTCAGCTTCATCCAACGAGTTACTCCCTACACCAAAATCCAGTCACGCGCCGAATATTCAACGAGAGGGGGCGCACCAACGATCAACTCGACATCACCCCTCTTTGCAATCTCCTCGATAGCAGGACCCGCTACCATCCCACTCTACGCAAGACAGATGAGCGACAGAAACAGCTAGAATGGAGGTACTCACACCAAGCATCAAAACCCTCTTCTTCTTAACCACCCCATCACCTTTCTTACATCTCCCAACCACACCTTCCACCGCACTCTCCTCCTTCACGCCAACCTCCTCCCTCACCGTCCCCATAACACTCCTATCCCCCACCTCCCTCCCAGATTTATCCCCTTCCCCGATCACCCCCTCCCTCCACTTCCCCAAAGGACCCGTCAACCACCCAAACCCCCCACTCAGCTTTCCCCCTCTCACAACCGTAGCCCTCTCCAACGCTCTACCCACTTCTCCTTCCACTTCCTCACCTACACCACCAAAAAATCGCCACCAAAAAAATCAGCACTCCCCCTTTCTCACACGGACACGAAACAAAAAACTCACCTCGATACCCCCTAACAACACCCCCCACATACCTCCCCAACCCCTTACTAAAGTGCACACTAGCATCAAGCGGTAAACTCGCAGGTAAGATATCAACAGCCATAACCCTTACCCCTCCCAATTCTTTTGGTAAACAAGAAGGGAGGGTGGTGAAAGAGGGTTGAGAGAGTGTTGAGGGGTGGGGGAGGAATTGGAGGCCTCCCTATACGGGATGGTAGGGAAGTGAGCCTGAAAACCGATGGTAGGAAAGGAAGAAGGACGAACATGAACATCACAGCTAACATCACCCACACACCTCCCCCTCATCCCCCCCAACCCATCAGCCTTCCTCAACGCCAAACCCAATTGTTCATTCGTCATCAACCTAGGGAACCCTTCCGACCACCCAGTTCCATTTAGCAGGAGGGTTAGGTAGGGGTAAACCTGCACACGCAAATCAACACGCATCAAACGCAATGAGCAAGCATCCAACAAAGAGCTCATATCTAAAGTAAACTGACCTTGTCCCCGAAATCGGACTTGTATAACCCAGGATTGGTATAATAATCACTCCTCTCATATTTCCCTCCATCCATTCTTGAGAAATAATCTTTGGGGAGGGCGTGTACGAGGTATATCTACGCCCGGGATCATGTTAGAAACGGATAAACAGCGAATGCGGAGAGGAAGAGAAGTTGTGTAAGCAAGAGTAAATGGTAAGAACTAATACTAAGAAACAGCGAACGGAAGAAACAGCGTAGCACACACCTTCCTTAAATCCGTATCTAACCACGAAGAGAAACTTATCAGCTACTGCTACTCGAAGTGGGAGGAACGAAACTTCATACCAGGGTTCGAGACAAGACCCGGTAGATCCTTCACCTCAACTCTCACAATGGGAAGTTCATCAAGGATACTCAGCATTCCTTGCGCTACCTTCCCCGTCCTATCCCCACAAAAAAATCAGCTCAAAGGAACGAAGCTCGATTCAGAACACGCGTACCCAGTGACACCGATAACGACAGGACCCAATTCCCGTGGTGTCCCGTTCTCCACTATGAGGTTCCCTATTGATCGAAGGGAGGAACGGAGGGAGGGGATTGAGGGGTGGGTGTGTGGACGGGGTGTGTACTAGTTAGATGACATGAGTGAGATGAGAGGTGAAAGGGTGGAGGGGTGGGGGACGTACGAGGAAAGGAGACGATATACCCGCTTCGAGGTGGAGGTGTGCGAGAGTTGATAAAGATTCCAGGGCTCCCGCAACTAAACTCACATGATAAGCTAAATGCCATCGGGAAGTGTGAATGTATGCGAGGTACTGACCTCCAGCGAACCAACCAAACCCAACCGTCCTCTTCCCATCTTCACCTGTGAGTAATTCATAGTCGATTAACCGCGGTAGGGAATCGGAATCGTATGATAGGGGGTCAGGTGTGGGATGACCAGATACGAAACGGGATAGGAGGGGCATGTTGTATGGTTGTCCTTTGATTGTATGCGAGAACATCAAGTGAGTTCTTGGCACTTTGGTTGAAGAGGAAGAGGATGGGGAGGGTACAGGTGAAGTGAGGAGTTCGTCAAGAGGCGTTTCCTTGATTCCTATTATTATATGCGCGGGTTCGAGAGTGGGATGAACCTCTGCTCCAGCCTGACGCCGTGCCAAGCATCAACGAGACATGAAGACACGAAGGAAGGTGAAGCGCGTACCTTGACGAACTCATCAACTTTAAACACCCTCCTCGCACATTCCTGCACCAAAACTCTTACACCCTCTTTGCTCACGAGGTCATGAACGTCATCAGGAGTCAAAGGACACCTCCTCTCCCAAATCCTCGCAGGGTCTTCACGTCGTATACCGACGGTGACTCTGTGAGGGGCGGCGGTGGAGAGAGAACGATGGGGGAGGAAGGAGAATGGAGAACGACGGAGGAGAGGGATGGTCATGGTTGAATATGGGGGGTGGAAGCGAGGCGGAGGGTGGGTTTATGGGATGAAGATCCGGCCGGGACGTAGAGCTTCGTTGGCGGCTAAGA